GGCTGGCTCAGCCCACGTAGCAGACCAGCAACCGCGTCCAAGGTGCACTCCAAAATACTTCCCACATCGACTGACTTGAACGGCAAGGTCCCGGGAAGCCCACCTCGGACTCGGCGCTCAGGAACTCGGGGGACGAGAAAGGGCCGAGTAGTACTATGACAGTTTTCGCAGCGTTCAGTTCAAAGCCCAGTGCAGAACCAGCCACCTGCCAGATACGCAGCGAGATGGTCAGGCTGAGCACGATGTCCCCCGATGCCAATCGTAGGTCGTCCGCAAATGCTCGAGGGGAGAGATGCATGGTGGTGGGCGCGCGGCGTGCGTCCGCGTGACTGGGTCAGAGCACAGGGCAAACACGCTCCCGGAGAGTGGACAACGTTGCTCGATGCCCCTCTTGCAGAAGAAGCCCACCTCAAAAACCCCTCGGTGATGGACCTCCACCCACACATCCTGGCGCAGTGCCCGGATGGCCTCAACCACATTGCTGGGGATCGACATGGCGGCAAGAGTCCGGCAAGTAGCTGCGCGAAGAAGAAACGGACAAACAGCTCGCACGTCAGAGTGCGCGAGCCCGGTCCGGATCATGTAGCTTTGGTCCATCCATTGTATGCACTTGCCCTCTAGATCGATAGTGCTCTTGATCATGTTGCCGCTCGGTATGAAGTCATTGGGCGAGGTCGCCAGCTTGTTGACGCAAAGGGCAACTGCCTTATTGCTGGCTTCGAAAGTGTGAGCGGGCGACTCTTCCCCGGGGCCTGCTGGGCAATCGTGGAATCCTTCACGTTGACGCCTTTAGGAGGCAAGAGCCCGCCCCCAATTCAACCTCGCGAGCGCCCTCCCCGTTTCCCAAATGCCGCAGCAGACAGCGCGAAGAGCTCTGAGGGCGAACGGCCCCGCACCGTGCCATGCAGAGTATGGGGCCCCGTCAGGGCCTGGACTAAAATCAGATTTCGAAGCCGAGATCAGGGCGAACTCGTCGCAGCACAATTCCCACCCCGGCACGAACGGCGCAGGAACCACGAAGCCTTTGAGTTCCGCCCGAGCGTCATCATCGCCATCGAGTTCGGCATGGACCTGGCCCCAATAATTGGCAAGCTCCTGGGCCGCCGGGTCCTCGACAGCCCCCAACGTAAAAGTGCGACTCCGATTATCCCAAGCGCTGCAATGATCCAAGCGTCTGGATACTTCAGACTAGCGCGTCTGATAATTCCCTCCCGATTTCCGGGCCAAAGAGCTCTGAAGCTTAGATGCAGCTCGACTTTAGTCAAGGACTATTATCTCGAAAAAAATCTGTAGAATACGAATAGTCTCGCGAACCCAGCTCGAGTAGCAGACCCGATTCGGACCTCTACATGCTTCAGACGAACGCGCCTGATCATTCAGAATCGAGTACGTGTGCGTATCAGCTCTGTAGCTCATCTACAGCTCGAATTAAGTACAGAAAACCGACATCAGCTGTCAAGAAAATTCGTACAATACGAATAGTTTTGCGCACCTAGCTCGAGTAGTGGACCGAGTTCAGAGCTCTAGATGCTTCAGACGAACGCGCATGATGATTCTGAATCGACTACGTGGGCCTTCTCGGGTCGGGTCGCGAGCCCCCGGTCCTCTGCGGAATCTCATTTCCCGGGCCGCGAACCCCGGGTCTTCGCTCTGGGGCCGCGGACTCGGAACCGGCGGTAAACCGTCAACCAGGTTACCGCTGGTAGAGCTCTTTGCTCGCACGGCGCTGCTCGGAACACATGGGTGACTCTCTCGGTTGAAACTTTTGTTCTCGATATTCAACCATTCGTTAGATCTTTTTTTTCCCCGTCATTCTCGATCTTATTCCCGCTCGCCGTCTTAATCTTAGCTCGATCGGATACCCATTACTGCCAAGGCGGGATCGGCTGTTTCGAGTCATCTTGACAAGTGCTGTCGGCTTTCTGTACTTAACTCGAGCTGTAGGAGAGTTACAGAGCTGATACGCAGACGTAATCGATTCAGAATCGCGAGGCGCGTTCGTCCGAAGCACCCCGAGGTCTGAACTCGGTCCGCTACTCGAGCTAAGTCTGGGAAACTATCTGTACTCTGATATGATTTCGGGAGATCATGATAAGTACCTTGACTCAACTCGAGACTCTGATGAGCTAAAGGGCTCTTCGCCACAGCAGTAGGAGTGCAATGATCAGGCACGCTAGTTAAAGTTCTAGACGCCCGATGCGTCAAGAAGAGCTTTTGTGATTTTTGCTTGATCGGGATCACGTTGTCTGCGTTAACATCGGCAATGGCCTTGTCAAGGCATTCTTTTTTCTGATGAGAGAGACGCGCGTGAAATCCCACTGAGTCCGTCAGCTGACACGCGCGAAGAAAGAAGAACCTCCCGACAGCTGGGAAAGCACGGCATGCACGACGCAGCACCGCAGCGTCCAGGGCCCGAGAAGCACGGAGGGCTGCCAAGCACTTTCTTCTGCCGTCTGAGCCCCCCGCCGCTCCCTCGTTTTCTTGACCATCCTGGCAGACCAATGCATAGCTCGATGACTTCAGATAAAGCAGCCTCGGGATCGGAAGAGAGGCGCGCAGGGGCCTGCCATCGCCTGGAACGCCTCCCCGAATTCAGAAGAGTTCGAAATTCAAGACGGGATAGCCGACCTCTCTGTTTGCACGCTTCCGGCACGCAGGGGGAAAAAAAAACAGGAAGATGATCGGATAGCTCATCAAGGTTATGGGCGCTTCCAACCACTCCAGAAAGAGGGTGCAGGTCGATCAGAGCTCCCGTCGGGATCGAAATGTATATCCGATCGATAGGAAACGAACCGTCCCTGTCAAGAGTATATCGCCCTTCCACTTCAGGGTGATTAAAGTTGCCTCCGACCAAGACCGTCGCCTTCGAGACCGGTTCCAGGGCACCTCGGATCAAGTCAAGTTGGGATTTCCGCACCGACACGGGGAGCTTAGGGTCCAAGTGAACATTGACGATCTGAAGAGCCTGTTCTTGTCCTCGGACGGTCAACGAATGGATCCCGACGATTTCTCGGCGGGAGGTGTCGGGTAGAGTCGACCGCAGTCTGGGATGAACGAGTAATGCCACGCCCCCCACATTGGAATCGCTGCAAAAGCTCCAAAATCCAGTAAAATCAAATACCTCAGCACAGAAGGCCTCAAGCCACCCAGCGTGACCCGAAGCTCCTGAAATAAAACAATGTCTATCTGTGACAAACCCGATATATTTTGTTCGGCTTACGCTTGGAGCACCGAAAGCCGAACACACGTTCCAGGTGACAGTGCTCAGGGAGTGCACCGGGAGGTAGGCGCGACTGCTCTCAGCACCGCATGGCCCAAGTGAAAAAAGTGAAGGGGAAGTCGACATAGATAATACTTCCCGCGCCAGAAGCACCACTGGAATCCCCGGTTGTCTCCGAGCCAGTGCTCCCAGATGATGCCGAAGAGGACGAAGAACGAGAAGAGGAGGATGAGCAGCGAGAGTGGTGACGAAGATCATTGCTAACAACTTCATGTTGGACTCTGCTCTCATGCAAGGGTGACGTACAGGCGTGAGGGCACGCAGCAAGCAAACGCTCGATGTCTACGGACTCAGGCAACCCCGCTGCCGACGAGTCTCCACTACCAGCACCAACCTGAGTAGGAAGAAGGGCGTGAGGAGCGTGAAGAGATAGGGGACAAGGGCCCCGAGCGTGACCGTCATCATCCTGAACGCCACTGGTTTGTCAATGCCTAGGCTGCGTGGCCGAGGGGACGTGCTCGGACGCGAGGGTCGGCGTGATCCTGAAGGCCGCGAGGGCATCGAGCTGCGGCGTGATCACGTACTGCCCGCCGCTCCCCCGGCTCGATCTTGTAGAGGAGGCGGCAGTCGACATCACTGCAGACCAGGTACATATGCCCGCGGTTCGGCTGGTTTCCCAACTTGTAGCCCTCGCGCATCTGCTGGGTGTTCTGCAGGTGGGTCAGCGTGACCTTCCACAGCTGGCCCAGGACGCGGTTGGCCTTGCGGATATTCCCCGGGTGTCTGGCTTCGCCCTCAGGGGATGCCCCCGGTTCGCGGGATCCGTGCACTGCAGACCCTCGTCCTTGGCCTTCGACAGGATCGCCTTTGCGAGGTCGGCGTTCGGGAACGCGACGGAGTACGAGGTGTTGAAGTTGAAGCCCCGGATGCGGCACTCCTTGCGGACGCCCTCCTCCAGGTGGCTCAGCACGGTGACACCATGGGGATGCAGCAAACGACGCATGACGGGCTGCGGGAACCCCACCACCCAGATCTTGCACGGGTTGGCCTGCGTGGAGGTGTCAGACCCGTCGGAGGACGCCGCCGAACCAGCGGGAGTGCCGGCCAGTGGAGCAGCAGGCGCAGGCACGGCCGGGCGCGCCTCCAGCTTGCCAAGCCCAAGAACATCGAGTTGTGCCTGCATGCCCAGGATGGCCGCAATCGCCAACTGCACGTGGGTCATCTGGCCGGAGAGTGTCTTCAAGCAGCCATTGATGGTCTTCAAGATCGAGGGCACGTCGTCACCAGGGATCTCCCCCACCTTCGCCGCCTTCTGTGGACGCCGTCCGGCTCCACCTTTGCCACTGGCCACGTTGGCGGCGGTGCCACAGGGAGTAGCTCCACCAGCAGCGGCAGCAACAACAGCACCAGTAGTTTCCTCCATCTTCGGCTGAGACCAACGGTCGCAGTCCACCCAAGGGTCGGTTCCCTGATGCATCCAAGGCTGGCGTGGCCAGCAAGAGGTAAAACAGTAGAGGTGGTGAAAAATGAAAATGAAAAGTATTGTCCGCCTGGGCACGACACCCAGGGCTGCCCGCTCAAGCGCTTCGCGGCACTTGAGCCAAAATGGCAACGGACCGGGACGGGAGGAGGAGAAGGAGGAGGAGGAGGCGGAGGAGGAGGAAAAGGCGGAGGAGGAGGAGGCGGAGCAGGAGGAGGAGGAGGCGGAGGAGGAGGAGGGGTCGATGCCTCTCCCCCCTGACATTGCCCCGAGAGGAACGAGTGACGCCGAGGCCGCGGCCAGCAGCTCCGCGGCTCGCCACAGGAGCACGCCGCCGGCACCCCGCCGCACCTGGCCGGGGGCAGGGCAGCTCTCGCTGGCTGTTCGACGCCTCCTCGCCGTGGGATGCCTTCCAGCAGCTGCCTCCTCCTCCTCCTCCTCCTCCTCCTCGTCCTCCTCCTCCTCCTCGTCCTCGTCCTCGTCCTCCTCCTCCTCCTCCTCCTCCTCCTCTCCTCCCTCGTCCTCCTCGTCCTCCCTCCTCCCCCCTCCTCCTCCTCCCTCCCTCCTCCCCCTGCCTCCCCTCCCTCCCCCCTCCTCCTCCTCCTCCTCCTCCTCCTCCTCCTCCTCCTTCTCCTCCTCCTCCTCTTCCTCCTGCTCCTCCTTCCCTCCTCCTCCTCCGCGCCTTTTCGAGAGCGTTCCTGGGGTGCCCAGGTCGTCCCGAACGGCAGCCAGAGCCCCGAACAATGGCCGACAAGCACCATGGGCGGGCCTTCTCAGAAGGCTCACAAGGCTCCCGGCCTTCTGAGCAGCGATCTAGGCCCAGCGGCCTTCTGAGAAGGCCTGCCTCCTTTCACTTCCCTCCTCGGCGCGGCGCCGAATACAGTCATCGTGCTACCACGATAAACGCCAAACAAGAAACTAAATGGCTTGTCTGGCCAACGCGAGCCTCGGCCAAGAGTGGGTTTCCCAAAAGAGATCCAAGGAGTGGAGCGAAAATCATAGCCCCTCCTGATTCCCAAGTGGTCAATCTTTCGGCGACATGACTGACCCACTCACGAAGCAAAAGCAAGCGTTTCGCTCGGGACATCCTCAAATGTTCCTTCGCCGGCCCACCTCGACCTCGTTGTTGACCGCAGATTAAATTTGCCGACCCACCTCAAGTCGATTCTGGGAATAAGCTCCTCCATGATCGACCCACGAACCCGGAAAGGAATATAGAAATGTAAAGCATGGCAACCCCTCAAAGACACCTGATTGGGCGACGGGCAAATGCAATGCTGAGCGTATTGCGCCGTGCCGGGAGCTGTGCTGTGCCGTGCTGAATTTCGATGTGCCATGTCGCGATTATGCTCTAGCGTTGTGGATCGAGTCCTCCTTTGCATCCGAGTCCTGACCGAACTGATCTGGGTCTTACGCTCGAGCTGCCTGAGCACACAGTAGCTGCCCCACAGCTCATTGACAGGGGGACATGCCAGGATGACGCGCCGCGGAACGTCCCAAGGGACGCGCCAGGCCACGTGCCTGGGGACCTGCCATGGGGACGCACCGCGGGACGACGCGCTACAGAACGTGCCAATGTAATGGCCACGGGACGCACCAGGGACGCGCCGCGCGACGTGCCAGGGGACTCGCCACGCGACGCGCCACACATCGTGTTCTCGAGACACCCTGCCCAAATCCTCATGCTAGACATGCGTCTGGGCGACCTGGACACATGAAAACCATATATTCGCTCAACGCGAACTGGACACGTGAAACAAGTGGCTCGCTCGAAACATCTTCAACACATCTTCATGTTAGACGTTCGCCTGGCTGGGTGACCTGGGCACGTGCGCCTGAGCGACCTGGACACATGAACGCAAACGTCTCGATCGAGTGCCAGGGGGACTCGCCACGGGACGCTCCGCGGAACGTACCAGGCAACATGCCAGGCTGCAACGCTAAGAGTATCGATCTTGATGTACCGTGCCGAGGGCTGTGCTGCCTGAGCGACCTGGACATGCGAAAACAAAGCGTTTCGCTCAAAGCGTTATCAGCACATCCTATGCTAGACACGCGCCTGGGCAACCTGGACACGTGCAAACAAGCGTCTCGATCGAGACTTCCTCAACACATCCTCATGCTAGACATCCGCCTGGGCGACCTGGACGCGTGAAACCAAGCGTCTGGTTCGAGACATCCTCAACAAATCCTCATGCTAGACATCTGCCTGGGCAACCTGGACGCGTGAAACCGAGCGTCTCGCTCGAGACATCCTCAAGACCTGGGCACGTGAAAACAAGCATTTCACTTGAGAGATCTTCTGAATTCTGAAACACAAAATTTAATACAAAACAAGCGCTTCGCTCGAGACACCTCAGCAAATTCTTAGAAACAAGCGTTTCGCTAGAGACATCCTCAACCATCATTTCGCTGGCCCTACTCGACCTCGTGACCTATCGCAAATAATTTCGCCGGCCCTACAACCGTCGATTCGGGGGTAAACGGCACAACGAGAACCCTTGGCAGACGCCCTGTCCAAGGCATAATCGACCCACGAACCCGTAAAGAAATATAGAAATGTAAGGCATGGCGACGCTTCAAAGACACCTGATTGGGCGACGGGCAAATGCAATGCTGAGCGTATTGCGCCGTGCCGGGAGCTGTGCTGTGCTGTGCTGTGCTGAATTTCGATGTGCCATGTCGCGATTATGCTCTATAGCGTTGTGGATCGAGTCCTCCGTTGCATCCGAATCCTGACCGAACTGATCTGGATCTTACGCTCGAGCTGCCTGAGCACACAGTAGCTGCCTCAGAGCTAATTGACAGGGGGACATGCCAGGAGGACGCGCCGCGGAACGTCCCAAAGGACTCGCCAGGCCACGTGCCAGTGGCGTGCCATGGGGACGCACCGCGGGACGTGCCAAGGGAACGCGCTATAGAACGTGCCAAAGTGGACGTGCCACGGGACGCGCCAGGGAACGCGCCGTGTGACGTGCCAGGGGGACTCGTCACGGGACGCGCCAGGGAACGTGCTTTCGAGACACCCTGCCCAAATCCTCATGCTAGACATGCGCCTGGGCGACCTGGACACGTGAGAACAATCGATTCGCTCAACACATCCTCAACACATCCTCATGCAAGACATCCGCCTGGGCGAACTGGACACGTGAAACAAGTGGCTCACTCGAGACATCTTCAACACAGACGTGCGCCTTGGGTGACCTGGGCACGTGAAAACAAGCGTAGCGCTCGAGACGTTCTCAACACCTCCTCATGCTAGACATGCGCCTGGGCGACCTGGACACATGAAAGCAAACGTCTTGCTCGAGTGCCAGGGGGACTCGCCACGGGACGCTCCGCGGAACGTACCAGGCAACATGCCAGGCTGCAACGCTAAGAGTATCGATCTTGATGTACCGTGCCGACTGTGCCTGGGCGACCTGGACATGCGAAAACAAGCGTTTCGCTCAAGGCGTTCTCAGCACATCTTCATGCTAGACACCCGCCTGGGCGACCTGGACACGTGCAACAAGCGTCTCGATCGAGACTTCCTCAACACATCCTCATGCTAGACATCCGCCTAGGCGACCTGGGCACGTGCAAACAAGCATCTCGATCGAGACTTCCTCAACACATCCTCATGCTAGACATCCGCCTGGGCGACCTGGACGCGTGAAACCGAGCGTCTCGCTCGAGACATCCTCAAGACCTGGGCACGTGAAGACAAGCATTTCATTTGAGAGATCTTCTGGATTCTGAAACACAAGATGTAATACAGAACAAACGCTTTGCTCGAGACATCCTCAGCAAATTCTTAGAAACAAGCGTTTCGCTCGAGACATCCTCAAACATAATTTCGCCGGCCCTACGCGACCTCATTATCTATCGCACAAAAATTCGCCGGCCCTACAGCCGTCGACTCGGAGGTAAACGGCAAAAAGAAAACCCTGGGCAGGCGCCCTTTCCGGGACATGATCGACCCACTAACCCGGAAAGGAATATAGAAATGTAAGGCATGGCAACGCTTCAAAGACACCCGATTGGGCGACGGGCAAATGCAATGCTGAGCGTACTGCGCCGTGCGGAGGGCTGTGCTGTGCTGTGCTGTGCTGAATTTCGATGTGCCATGTCGCGATTATGCTCTACAGCGTTGTGGATCGAGTCCTCCGTTGCATCCGAGTCCTGACCGAACTGATCTGGATCTTACGCTCGAGCTGCCTGAGCACACAGTAGCTGCCTCAGAGCTAATTGACAGGGGGACATGCCAGGAGGACGCGCCGCGGAACGTCCAAAGGGACGCGCCAGGCGACGTGCCAGGGGACGTGCCATGGGGACGCACCGCGGGACGTGCCAAGGGGACGCGCTACAAAACGTGCAATGGACGTGCCACGGGACGCGCCAGGGGACGCGCCGCGCGACGTGCCAGGGGGACTCGCCACGGGACGCGCCAGGGAACGTGCTTTCGAGACACCCTGCCCAAATCCTCATGCTAGACATGCGCCTGGGCGACCTGGACACGTGAGAACAATCGATTCGCTCAACACATCCTCAACACTTCCTCATGCAAGACCTCCGCCTGGGCCAACTGGACACGTGAAAACAAGTGGCTCGCTCGAGACATCTTCAACACATCTTCATATTAGACGTCCGACTGGGTGACATGGGCACGTGAAAACAAGCGTACCACTCGAGACGTTCTCACCTCTCAACACCTCCTCATGCTAGACATGCGCCTGGGCGACCTGGACACATGAAAGCAAACGTCTCGCTCGAGTGACAGGGGGGCTCGCCACGGGACGCTCCGCGGAACGTACCAGGCAACATGCCAGGCTGCAATGCTAAGGCTAACGATCTTGATGTACCGTGCCGAGGGCTGTGCTGTGCCTGGGCGACCTGGACATGCGAAAACAAGCGTTTCGCTCAAGGCGTTCTCAGCACATCTTCATGCTAGACACCCGCCTGGGCGACCTGGACACGTGCAAACAAGTGTCTCGATCGAGACTTCCTCAACACATCCTCATGCTAGACATCCGCCTGGGCGACCTGGACGCGTGAAACCAAGCGTCTGGTTCGAGACATCCTCAACACATCCTCATGCTAGACATCTCCCTGCAACCTGGACGAGGGAAACCAAGCGTCTCGCTCGAGACATCCTCAAGACCTGGGCACGTGAAAACGAGCATTTCATTTGAGAGATCTCCTGAATTCTGAAACACAACATGTAATATAAAACAAGCGCTTCGCTCGAGATATCCTCAGCAAATTCTTAGAAACAAGCGTTTCGCTCGAGACATCCTCAAACGTATTTTCGCCAACCCTACGCGACCTCGTTATCCATCGCAAACAATTTCGCCGGCCCTACAGCCGTCGATTCGAGGGTAAACGGCAAAAAAGAAACCCTGAGCAGGCGCCCGTTCCGGGACATGATCGACACACGAACCCAGAAAAGGAATATATAGAAATGTAAGGCATGGCAGCGCTTCAAAGACACCTGATTGGGCGACGGGCAAATGCAATGCTGAGTGTATCGACCTTGATGTACAATGCCGAGGGCTGTGCTGTGCTGCACTGTGCTGAATTGCGATGTGCTATGCCGCGATTGTGCCCTATAGCGTTGTGGATCGAGTCCTCCTTTGCATCCGAGTCCTGACCGAACTGATCTAGATCTGAAGCTCGAGCTGCCTGAACACACAGTAGCTGCCCCAGAGCTAATTGAGAGGGGGACATGCCAGGAGGATGCGCCGCGGAATGTCCCAAGGGACGCGCCAGGCGACGTGCCATGGGGACGCACCGCGGGACGTGCCAAGGGGACGCGCTATAGAACGTGCCAATGGACGTGCCACGGGACGCGCCAGGGGACGCGCCGCGCGACGTGCCAGGGGGACTCGCCACGGGACGCACCACTGAACGTGTCAAGGAACGCACCAGGTTGCAATGCTGAATGGATCGATCTTGATGTACCGTGCCGAAGGCTGTGCTGTGCTGAGCCGTGCTGAATTGCGCTTTGCCATGCCGCGGTTGTGCTATAAGTGTTTTGGATCGAGTCCTCCTTTGCATCCAAGTCCTGACCGAACTGATCTGGATCTTAAGATCGAGCTGCCTGAGCACATAGTTGCTGCCCCAGAGCTAATTGACAGAGGGACATGCCAGGAGGACGCGCCGCGGAACGTCCCAAGGGACGCGCCAGGCGACGTGCCAAGGGACCTGCCATGGGGACGCACAGCGGGACGTGTCAAGGGGACGCGCTGCGGAACGTGCCAATGAACATGTCACGAGACGTGCCAGTTGACCCATGTGTTTTCAGGCTTGCCCTGCCCTGGGGCGTTGGGAACCCATGCGTTTTCACGCTTCTCCCGCCCTGGGGCGTTAGAAACCAAACATAAGTGTCCCGCCCTGGAGCGTTCGGAACCCATGTGTTTTCACGTTTCTCCCGCCCTGAAGCGTTAGGAACTTATGTGTTGTCACACCTGTCCCGCCCTGGGGCGTAGGAACCGATGTGTTTTCGCGCTTCTCGAGCCTCCTGGGGCCTCCTGGGGGGCGGGGGGAAGCAATAAACGCTACCCAAACACATACCCCAAAACAAAACAATTCATCCTGGGGCCTCCTGGGGCCTCCTGGGGCCTCCTGGGGGCGCGGGGGGCGAAACGCACGCCCCGAACATAGATCCCAATACAAAACAATGCCTCCTGGGGCCTCGTGAGGCCTCCTGAAGCGTTGGGAGCCATGTGTTGTTGCACTTCTCCCGCCCTTGGGCGTGAGGAAGCCATGTGTTTTCACGCTTCTCCCGCCCTGTGGCGTTAGGAACCATGTGTTGTCCCGCTTGTCCCGCCCTGGGGCGTAAGGAACCATGTGTTTTCACGTTTCTCGAGCCTCCTGGGGCCTCCTGGGGGGCGGGAGGAAGCGACACACGTTCCCCGAATACATTTCCCAATGCAGAACATACGTAAGACAAGCATTTCACCTGAGACGTCCTCTGAATTCTGGTCGCAGGAGGGAAACAATCTATAACACAAAACAAACGTTTCGCTTGATCCATTCTCAACGAATTACTGGGAAAAAACAAGCGTCTCGTTTGGGACATTCTCAACAATAAAACAACATTTAACACAAAAGAAGCGTCTCGCCCGAGACATCCTCACCACAATCTGAATAACAAACGTTTCGCTCGGGACATCATAAAAAATCCGCCTGCATTCTTCCCGCCTCGTTATCTATCGCGCTGGCCTCAAGTCGAGGCGGGGGAGAAGACCAATCAAAAAAGAACCCTGGGCCTAAGCCCTTTCTGGGAAAACACAATCGACCCACGAACCCGGAAGGAATATAGAAATGTAAGACATGGCAAAGCTTCAAAGACACCTGATATGGCGACGGGCAAATGCAATGCTGAGTGTATCGATATTGATGGACCGTGCCGAGGGTTGGGCTATGCTGCGCCGTGCTGAATTGCGCTGTGCCATGCCGCGATTGTGCTCTACATAGCGTTGTGGACCGAATCCTCCTTTGCATCCGAGTCCTGACCGAACTGACCTGGATCTAGAGCTCGAGCTGCCTGAGCATATGACAGCTGCCCCAGAACCAATTGAAAAGGGACGTGCCAGGAGGACGCGCCGCGGAACGTCCCAAGGGACGCGCCAGGCGACGTGCCAGGGGACGTGCCATGGGGACGCACCGCGGGACAAGCCAAGGGGACTCGCTACGGAACGTGCTGAGGACAAGCATATTGCTCGAGACATCCTGCCCAAATCCTAACTCTAGACATCCGCCTGGGCGAACTGGACACGTTAGAAACAAGCGTGTCGCTCCACGCGTCCTCAACACATCCTCATGCTAGACATCCACCCGGGCGAACTGGACACGTGAAAACAAGTGGCTCGCACGGGGACATCCTCAACACATCTTCATGTTAGACGTCCACCTGGGTGACCTGGGCAAGTGAAAACAAGCGTCTCTCTCGAGACATTCTCAGCACCTCCTCATGCACGGAGCATGAGCACCAGCAGCAGCGAGTTGGCATGGCCGCAACCTGCGATTTTCCCCTGCCAGGCCACGAAGAGGTCCGACGTAGTGTTGAACGCCGCCAGCGTCCTTGGCTGCCGATAGGTGCTCAGCAGCACCCACGCCAGCCTCAGGGGGGACCCCGGCGCTCGGGCGTCCACCAGCTGAGCCTCAGGCGCCACCAGCTCGTAGGCCTTCCAGAGGTCGAGGGCAACCTGGGCTGAATCCGAGCCGCCGAGGCGAGCCTGCTCCTTGGCCAGGTTCAGCTCGTACGCGGAGCCAGAACTCGAGCGTCCAGGGCCTGTGCTCCAGACCAGGGGCGAAGGATGGGCGAGCTCCCAGGCCTTGGTGATCGGCCTTCGCGCTCGACTCCACAGTCTCACCAAGGTCGCGATCAGCCTGCAGCCCCCGTCAGGCTTGGGCAACCTCACCATGGTGTTGATGAGGCGGCCACTCGGCCACGCGAGGAGCTCCTCGCACTTGTGGTAGACCGCGATCATGGCGCGCAGGGCGTCGTCGGAGAGATCCTCCAGCGCCCTCGGCGGAATGCCCGACTGGCCCACCCATGTGCGCCATGGGAAGGAGCGCAGCACATCGCGGACGTTGTGCAGCTGCACTGGCGGCAACTCGTCCCGCGTGTGCGCGTCGTTCGGCAGCTCCACGCTGGTGAGGCCGCGGTAGTTCCAGATGTCGATCCACGGCTTCATCTCCCCGTCCACTAAGGCCGCCGAGCCTTTTTTCCTGCAGCGCGGGCAGTGCCTCCTGAAGCACAGGCACCTTGGAGGTCGCGTGCGCCGCGCCAGCGCCGCCCAGGAAGGCATCATCCACCCGCTCCTTCCAGGGGCCTGGACCAGCTTCCTCAGCCTCTCCCTCGCCTCAGCCAGCGCGCGCTTGAAGTCCCGCTCGAAGTCGGCCTCTGCCCAGTTGGCGTCGGCTCGGAAAGGCCGTTGTGCCCACGGCGGCAAGATTCGCCAGTGCACATGGTCCTCGATGTCCGCCAGGAACGTCCTGAGGTGCGCCAGGGTGGCCGCGATCGACTTCATGCACTTGCCCCTCGCCGCCGCCGCCTCTTGCCTTCTTCTCGCCTGTGGCTGTCCAATGCAGCCAGCCGCGGCGGCGGTCCCGTTTGCTGATGAGCCCGGACGCCCACCCAGCCACCAGCGCCGCCCAGGCGTGGGCCTCTAGCCCCCGCAGCTTCCGCTTCTGGGGTGGCCTCCACTGCGCTATCTCCCATCTCAAGCCAGCGCCCACCTTCCGCGTGCCACGACCTGCGAAGGCGCGGCGGGCAGGCCCCACCAAGTCCCGCCTGTTGAGGATCTCCGTCTCGACCCCCTCCAACAGCAGGCCCCAAAGGATCTGCAGGCCTTGGTCGTCGTGCGTGGCCTGGGCGCAGCGCAGCGCCTCCGTCCAGCGTCAGGGGCCACGGGTGCAGCCAGGCTTGGCGGGCTCCCTGGGAACTGCCCTCGGCTCGTCGAGTACCTGCTGCCGCGTCTCCACTCGCACCGACTGCAGTGGCAGGTGGACGGGCCAGTGGGGCCACGTGCTGGCACCCCTGTCCAGCCGCGGAGGTTCCGCCGCAAAGCACGCCAGGCTCTTGGACACCACAAAATAGTCAATCTTGGAGCCGCTGCCCTGCCTGCTGCGACCCGAATCTGCGCGCGCAGCTTTCGGACCCAGCCGAAGTCCAGGACGTCCGCCTCCATGTTCCAGTCGCCCGTGGCCGCCCAGTGGTAGCCCTCCGCCTCCAGCACGCCGAGGTGCTGGGCCAGCTGCCAGAGGATGCCTAGGTTGTTCGCCGAGAGGCTCTCTCCGACGTGTAGGTGCACGCTCGGCACCACCGCGCCCCCCTGAGGTCCTGCTCGAACATGCCCAGCGACCAGGCGCCCAGGCACCAGCACATGCGAGTCGCGCCCAGGGGGCCCCGTCAGCTGGATGCTGGCGGGGGCCAGCACCGCGACCCCGCCGATCGACCCAGTCGTCGAGGTAGGGGACGGTGTGGCGGCACTCCAGACCCCGTGCCACCCTGCATCCTTGGCCGCCCGCTGCTGCGTCGCCAAGACACTTGCCGCGCAGTGGTGCCCTTGCACGGCCAGTGCCAGGGTCGTCTGGCCATCCGCCTGAAGGAGGTACTCGTTCAAGGGCCCCCGTGATGTCACGTTAGCGGTGGCCAGGCAGCAGCCGCCTCTGACCATGGGCGTGCGCTTGCCCACGCGGCCAAGCGGTGGGCCAGCACTTCCTGGCGGCGAGCCAGGCTGCGCTGGGGCTCGCGGGAGGGCGGCACCATCCCGCGGCTGTGGGGGTGGAGCGAGCGGGGGGCTCGAGCTCCGCATGGGGCGCGCAGGACCGACTACAGAGCCCTGCGAGGCAGGGTCACGGGGCCTGCAGTCTTCCTGGCATACAGGAAGGCCGGACTCCTCGAACAGCTGGTCGCCCACCTCCAACGAGTTGCCGAAGGCGGAATCCGTGTGGGGGAGAGGCTGCGGCTTCGAGGAGCTGAATCCCTCCGCCCCCCCCCCCCTGGGCCGCGCCCTGGGGCCGACGCCCGCGGTTGCCAGTCAGGAAACCCCACCTGGTCAACCACCTCTGACATCCCGGGGCCGCGCCCTTGATGGCCGAACACCCCCATCAGCCCAGAGCGGGTCTGAAGGCCCCCCCCCCCCCCTCCGAGAGATCACCTCCAGGATCGCCGTGCAGGCCGTGCCCTGGGGCCGACACCTGTGGCTGCCAGTCAGGATCCCCCACCTGGTCAGCCGAATCTGACATCCTGGGGCCGTGCCCTTGAAAGCCGAGCGCCCCCAGCAGCCCCGATGGGGGCCTGCTGACTCCCATCCCTCCCGAAGGCCGCCCCAGCGCCGCCCGCCTGCATCACCCCCGCGCGCTGCAGCCCCAGCGCCGCGCCAACAGCAGCCCTGCCGCACTGCGCCCTGATTGCGCCTGGCACCCTTGGCTTGGGCAGCCGTCAGCACCCCAGAGGTTGCAGTCGCCCAGCTCGAGGGCAGCCTGCTCGTCGGCCTCGTGCAACTCGTTGTATTAGGCCTCCCAGTTGCCACCGTTGCCCGCCATGGCGCCTGCAAAGCCCTCAGGCCGACGTGCGCGCCCGCTTGGGCGGCAGCAGGTCCAAGTCGGCGTAGAACCGCTTGAAGGCTTCGCGCACATCGTCGTCAGCAGGTCGATCGCTGCGCTCGGCCCCAGCTGGGGCGGCCCCCACCTTCGTTGGGAAGTTGAGCTGCGTGTCGACGTCCAGCTCCTCGTCGTCCATGGCATCGCTTCCTGCAGGGGCCCCATCCCCAGGGATCGGGGCGCGGCCCTCCTCAGGGGGAGCTCCTCCAGGCCCCCGCGCGGCCGCCTTGGCGGCTGCTCCAACAGCGATGCATGCAAGGCCCCTTCGACCCCGAACAAGCCCAGCACTTTGCCCAGGAAGTCGGCGGAGAACTTGAGGCCCTCGACCTCGGCCTCACCCTCCAAGCCATCACGCAGCTCAGTATGAGGCTGAGCCAAATTGTCCGACGTGCGAGACTGCTCCGCCCTGAGCTCGACCAGCCTCGCCTCCCGCTCGACATCCGCCAGGCGCAGCGCGTCGGCCTTGGCCTCGAGCTCCTTCTGCTGCGCCGCCACCGCCGCCATCTCCCCGCGGCTCTTCTCCTGCTGCTTCTCCAGCTTCTTGATCTGGTCCGTGAGGCTCTTGAGCTGCACGTCCTTAGGCTTAGCCTGGAAGACCTCCTGGCGAAACTGCTCGCGCTCCGCCTCGAGCTTGGCCTTCCTGTTGCGGGCGGCCTCCACGAAGTCGCCCACGTCGTCCTCCATGTCCGCTCAACGCCGAATCTCACCCAGCTGCTTGTCCAGCTGCTCCAGGCGCTGGCGCTTCGCGTCTCCCGCTGCGCCATCCCGCCAGGGGGGGCGTGCCACCGCCAGGCGAGGAGCCCCCGCCAGGCCCAGGCTGGACCGCCGCCGCCTTGAGCTTCTTGAGCTGGTCCAGCGCCTGGGCGAGCTTGACCTCGGCGTTGCTGCGCGAGGGCGCCGCCTGCACGGGCTTCCCGCCAAAGTGGGAGCTCTTCGGCATGTTGCACCACTTGCACTGCATGTGCTCCCCGTAGTTGAGCTTCCTGAAACCCCTGGCGTCTGGCGCACTGCAGGACTTGCAGTACCAGGGGCTCTTGGCGGCTGCCCTAGCCGCTGCCCCTGACCCGAGGCTGCGGGGCCCGCCGCCTGGCCCCCCTGACTTGCCGCTGCTGCCTCCGCCGCCGCGCGCACCGCCGCCAGAGCTGCCCCCCGCTATGGCTCGCGCCCTCGGAACGAAGGCGCCCCCAGCACGACAAGGAGGAGTAACGCGGCCGCCGCCCGCCGCGGCCAGGAGCGTTGGCAGAGAATGATCGAGTCCTGGTGACGCCCGCGAGGGACTCGCGGTCGTCGGGCGTCTCATGGCCTTGAGCCAACATGGCTACGGATCATATATATATATATACACCTCTATCTCTGTCTCTGTCTCTGTCTCTCTCTCTCTCTCTTTCTCTCCCCCCTCTCTCCCCCCCCTCTCGCTTGCTCTCGCTCTCTCTCTCTCTCTCTCTTCTCTCTCTCTCTCTCTCTGTGTCCTTCTCCCTCGCGCAGGGCGGCCGGGGCCTCGCTGCCCCACGTGGCGGCGGCCGCCCCGCTGGAGACCTCGCACCCCGACCGCCGGGCTGGCGCTGCGTCCTCGCCTCGAGCCCTGCCTCCTCCTCGTCCTCGTCCTCTTCCTCGTCCTCGTCCTCGTCCTCCTCCTTCCCCTCCTCCTCCCCCTCCCCCTCCTCGTCCTCGTCCTCGTCCTCGTCCTCCTCCTCCTCCCCTCCTCCTCCTCCTGCTCCTCCTCCTCTCCTCCTCGTCTCCTCGTCTTCGTCCTCGTCTTCGTCCTCGTCCTCGTCGTCCTCCTCGTCCTCCTCCTCCTCCTCCTCCTCCTCCTCCTCCTCCTCCCCCTCCTCGTCCTCCTCCTCCTCCTCGTCCTCCTCCCCCTACTCTCCCCTTCCCCTCCCTTCCCCTCTTCCGCCTGCGGTGTCGGTACACACCCAAGCTAAGATGCATAAGTGATGAGGCGCAGGTCATCCGAGGGTAACTCTCGTCAGACGTGGGTCGCAAATCCGCCTGACTGATCGTGATGCTTTCTAATTTCCCTTTCCGCTCCTTTAGGTTCCCTGCTTCCCCTTCCGTAGCCGCGATGGCTCCAGGTTTTAGCGTTTTGACACAAGAGGGGTATCCAACACGAACAAGATTGTTCGTGTTAGATACCCCCCTTGAGTGGCCAGCACACGTGAAACAAACACGTGGCTCCAGCTCGGGGAAACCATGCTAGATACCTCGCTGGGTGACCTGGACACACAACATGATCGACCCACGAACCTGGAAAGGACTACATGCATGTAAGGCATGGCAACGTTTCAAGGACACCTGATTGGGCGACGGGCACATGCAATGCCGAATGTATCGATCTTGATGTACTGTGCTGAGGGCTGTGCTGTGCTGGGCCGTGCTGAACTGCGATGTGCCATGCCGCGATTGTGCTCTATATAGCGCTGTGGATCGAATCCTCTTTGCATCCGAGCCCTGACCGAACTGATCTGGATCTTAAGCTCGAGCTGCCTGAGCAGATGGTAGCTGCCCCAGAACTAATCGACAGAGGGGACATGCCAGGAGGACGCGCCGCGGAGCGTCCCAGGGGACGCGCCAGGCGACGTGCCAGGGGACGTGCCATGGGCACGCACCGCGGGACGTGCCAAGGGGACGCGCTACGGAACGTGCCAATGTACGTGCCGCGGGACGTGCCAGGGGACGCGCCGCGCGACGTGCCAGGTAGACTCGCCACGGAACGCGCCAAGGAACGTGCCATTGTGCAATTTGAGTGTACCGATCTTAATGCACCGTGCCGAGGGCTGTGCTGTGCTGGGCCGTGCTGAACTGCGGTGTGCCATGCCGCGATTGTGCTCTATATAGCGTTGTGGATCGAGTCCTCTTTGCATCCGAGTTCTGACCGAACTGATCTGGATCTTAAGCTCGAGTTGCCTGAGCATATGGTAGCTGCCCCAGAACTAATCGACAGGGGGACATGCCAGGAGGACGCGCCGCGGAACGTCTCAGGGGACGCGCCAAGCGACGTGCCAGCGAACGTGCCATGGGCACGCACGGCGGGACGTGCCAAAGGGACGCGCTACGGAACGTGCCAATGGACGTGCACCGCGCGACGTGCCAGGGGGATTCGCCACGGGACGCTCCGCGGAACGTGCCAGGCAACATGTCAGGCTGCAATGCTAAGGGTATCGATAGTGATGTACCGTGCCGAAGGCTGTGGTGTGCCTGGGCGACCTGGACACGTGAAAAACGCGTTTCGCTCAGGACGTTCTCAGCACATCCGCCTGGGCAACCTGGACACGTGCAAACAAGCGTCTCGATCGAGACTTCCTGGACACATCCTCATGCTAGACATCCGCCTGGGCGACGAGGACGCGTGAAACCAAGCGTCTCGCTCGAGACATCCTCAACAAATCCTGGCGCTAGACCTCTGTCGGGGCAACCTGGAGGCGTGAAACCAAGCGTCTCGCTCGAGACATCCTCAAGACCTGGGCACGTGAAAACAAGCATTTCACTTGAGAGATCCTCTGAATTGAGGTCCCCAGGAGAGGACACTCTATAAGACAAAGCAAGCGTTTCGCTCGAGACATCCTCAACACATTCTGAAAAAACAAGCGTTTCGTTCGAGACATCCTCAACAATAATTGCGCCGGCCCTACGCGACCTTGTTATGTATCGCAAAATAATTTCGCCGGCCCTACGGCCGTCAGAACTGGGGGTTAACACACTAAAGAGAACCCTGCGCCCGAGCCCTTTCCGAGAAAAAAACATGTTCCAGCACGGGCTACAATGTTAGATACCTCCCTGGGTGGCCTGGAAGCATGAAGACACGTGGATCCAGCGAGGGGCAAGAGGCAACCATCTTAGATCGCCCCCCCCTGGGCGACGTGGACACATAAGAACACGTGGCTTGAGCTCGGGACCAGCATGTTAGATACCCCAGTGGGTAGCCTGGACACGTGAATACACATGGCTCCAGCCCGGGACCACCATGTTAGATATCCACGCTGGTGGCCTGCACACATGAAACCATATGGCTCCAGCTCAGGACCATCATGCGAGATACCCTTCTGGGTGGCCTGGACACGTAAAGACACGCGGTTCCAGCTCGGGGCAACCACGTTAGATATCCACCTGGGTGGTCTGGACGCGTGAAAACAAATAGTTGCAGCTCGGGACCACCACGTTCGATACCCCAGGGAAATCAGAAAATTACCCGCCGAAGAAACTGTGTCAAACCATCACACGGTTGGTGCCGCTTTATTGATGATTTAGTCTGGCGCTTGTGGGCCCCCACGCTGGAGGGCCCAGACGACCACATGTTAGAGGCCCCCCCCCGTGGGTGGCCCGCACACGAAAAACGCATGGCTCCAGCCCGGGGCAACATGTCAGATACCCCTGCCGGTGGCCTGGACACGTAAAAACACATGGCTCCAGCTCGGGACCACCATGTCAGATACCGCTGCGGTCGGTGCCCAGGGCCTGTGAAAAGCAAACAAAACATGCGGAAGACCAGCATCTCCTGCCTCAGCGTGTCGGCGGCACGCCGGTGGCTTGTTTGAGGCACAAGCCTGAAGCCCCAGAGGGTATGACCGTAGCCTTTCCTCCACTTGAATTGTCATGTCTGCGTAGCCCTTTGTCTACACGAATTCCGTCTCAAGCTTGATGTGCGCCACCTCATGCAGGTCCACTCCGAGAACCAAGCTCTGGAGCAGGCCACCTCGTCGCCGGCAGCGCCAGAGCAGCACCGGCCAGCCCTCTGAGCAGCTGGGTCTGCGGCATGCCCCGGGCGCGCGCCGACAGCGCACCAGCGCCGCAGCAGAGAGGGCCGCCAGGTCCGGCCCAATGGTCGCACCAGGTATGCCATGCCTACCTAGCCGCCCCATCCTTGAGCAGGGACCGACCGTCCCGGCATTTCTTAGGCCCTCCACGAAATGCTCTTAGAACCCAAAAATGTTCTTAGAATGAAGACGCAACCCGATGTGTTGAAACAAGACCGTCCCAGCCGGACATGTTCCAAGAACATTTCGCGGATACCACAGAAGGCTCTCTGTCTGGCAGGCCTATGGGCGAGCTGCGACGCTGCGCCACTGCTTGCCATCCGCCGGCCCTGCGTGCTCTGCCCTGCGGTGGCATGGCTCGGCAGCACCCAGTGTGCGCCGTAGTGCCCACCCTGCAGACGGCGCCGCCGCCGAGCGCAAGAGCACCGCCGCGCTGCCAGAAGCCGCCAGGGAGCCCCGCCGCCCAGAGGGTCAGCTCCCGCCGCTCCAACTCCGCCAACATCCTTCCTGCTCGGCCCTCGGTTGCGACGAGAAGGGCGAATCGCCCAGGGGCGGGCACTGCACGCACTCGCCCGGGAGCCTTGTCGAAGACATGGATCCTCGGCGCCCCTGGATACGCGCACTGCTCGCCCCTGGGCTGTTCGCCCCCTATCGTCGCCTCTGAGGCCCGCTCCAGCAGCAGGCTCCCTCGCCAGCGAAGCCCGCGTCCCCCACTATCTGGAACTACAGGGCAGCCTTTAACACATAGGTTACACTATGATTTTTAATGCATGATTCATGTATGCATAAATTTATGCATGAACTCATCGTTGTGTTCAATACTACATCCCTGCATTATTAATACATGATCCGCACGCGGGACATTGTACATTCACATGAGAACCCCCCAGGGACCCCTACAGACCCTGAGATCTGACGCTGCAGAAAAACTGACAACTTCAAGAAGAAATCATCCTCCTCCTCCTCCTCCTCCTCCTCCTCCTCCCTCCTCCTCCTCCTCCTCCTCCTCCTCCTCCTCCTCTCCTCCTCATCCCTCCGACCACCGGCAGCGGCATGGCCCTCAGGCGGCGCGCGGGGGCGCGCGCCCCCTGCCCCCCTTGGCCGTTGGAGCCCTTGAGCCAGCATGCCTTGAGCCAGGGTGTCGTGATGAGCGTGTTTTCCACCACCACCACCATAAGTTGGAGGGGGGGGGTCCTCCTCCTCCTCCCTCCTCCTCCTCCTCCTCCTCCTCCTCCTCCTCCTCCTCCCCCTTCGCCCCATCCAACTTATGGTGGTGGTGGTGGAAAACGCGCTCATCATGTCGTACTCCAGGGTGGGCGGCGACTTGTGCACGCTTCGGCGTGGCCTTGACCAGCGGCATCCATCGACAGAATACACCTCCAGTGTTCCGGCCCACGAAGAGAAGCGATGACGAACACGTCTCAGCACTTGCGCGGCGGATCCTGTGGGTGGCCAATTCTGTCTTGAACTGGCGCGGGTCCTCGTCCAGCGAGATGAGGAGCTCCGTCAGGACGTTGGCGGTGGACATGATCTTGAAGCGGCTGCACCGTCCGTCTTGATGGCGGAGATTGACCATTGCCTGGCAAATGCGGCGAGCTGCCCAGCCCGCGCGCCTTTGCACTTGGCCACGTACCGTTTGGCAGCAGGCTCCCCTTGAAGAGTCCAGCTCTTGGGTTCCCAATTTGAGTCCTCAAGCCACAGGGAGAGAAGAGACACGGCACGCTCGCGGTTGACCGTGGGCGGGCTGCGGATGACCATGATGGTGGGGCCGATGGATCTGTT